ATTGCGTAACTTACATTCTTTGGTCATAAATTTTCAAACTCCGCTGTCCAAAAAAAACAAACTACACCGTCTTTGTTTTTCTTTAATTTGTTGATGCCGCAATGGTTTCTGGGATACCATTAGCTGTGTAAGATACTGAGATGTAAACTGCGTTTTGGGGGTTTGTCGGCCACATGTGTAGTAGGGTTGTAAGAAAATATCGATACACTGAAATATCGCGATATTTCATTTCCCGATACTGTATCGACAATTCTCTAAAGCCCTGTACCGATTTTTTTATTAAGGTTTAAAATGTCAACTTTCCTGCCAGCTGTTCATTTTTATGTTGTAGTTCAGATTCTGACCACTAGTTGGCAGCAGTGAGCCAGCCATTTGGCTACTCTACCTCTTGAGGTAGAGGCTATTGTTAAGTGTTGGGTGACCATATTGTAAATTAATATTAAAACCTAAAAGCTGAAAAATATATTTAAATAAATTTTCAAACTATTTATTGTCAAATTTAGTCTAATAATTGAAAACATGGATGAAATAAGAAATATGAAACAAATAAAATAAAATAAATACAAAGCAGAACACAGCTAAATGAATCAAAAGTATGTCTATGTGATATTAGAATTTTCTGAGACAATGAATTTTGGTTTTTCATTTTTTTTCCCCTGTAAGAGGTTTTTATTYAATAGAATTTTTGTACTAAAAAATCTCAATATATCGCAATATATCGCCTTGCTTATAGTATCACAATATATCAGGATATATCGTATCGTGACCACTCTGTCATGAAATGTATCGTATCGCCAAATTCTTGCCAATACACAGCCCTAATGTGTAGGCGCCTATGAAACAGCCTACGGGCTGACGAAGTGGTCGACAAATGCGGCCGACGTCGGCTGCACCACATGWGTTGAGACACAGCCACAGTCATTCTAAAGGTCATGGCAACAATAAATAGATTAAAGCAATTACAAGTCATGAAAAAGTCCAAGTTAATGAACAAACACAGATCAACAGCTTTGTAGCCCTTGTAACTACATGAACCATGATGTTTTAGATCACATTTTCTCCAACAAAAACACATCAGTTCATGTGTTTGATTGAACCACTTAAACATTTACAAAATTTGAGTTGTTTCATTGATCTAAAATTCACTTTGGAACTGAAGCTGTTAGCTCGACTCCTCCAAAAGAACGTCTCCAATCTCAGATCGCCCTAACTGCTGTCTTCTACTGCAGAGATTAATTAGTCCAAAAAACCTGACTTCAGAAACAMAAAACACATCTCAACAATCTTTTAGGGGGATGGAAACAGATCCAGCCATGGTCAAACTTGGAGGAGGGCATTCATACAGAGATATGAGAAAGATTATTGGATCTTAAGTAATTAGGTCATGTCTTCATCTGTTTATCCAGCCTTTGTACTTCCTATAACACCAGCATACCTGATGAAGGTCCTGAGATGAAATCTGTAAACAGAAATGTCCTGAGCTGAATAAAGAAACCAAACTAGAACAATTTAATCCACCTTAAACTGCATAATAAAACAGTTTGGAGCTGATAYACCGCACCACTTTTGTTTTCATCCTTTGTGCCAATCTTTTATGCTAATGCTACAGTGCAATGGTCAGGTTTCAACATGAGCTGCAAATAATATAAAACTCAACAAGCGTTTCTCTCTGAGTAACTGAAGTTAGAAGAGGAATTGTCTAATTGTTGGCAAATAAAAGGCTTCATTTCAGTGGGGCCAAACTCATGGATCACTTTAAAGCCTTTTATAGTTTATCATGCATAAATCTGTAACAGCGTCTAATTCTGCCATCTGTTAATGTGAACGCAGTCGGTTTTTATCGGAGAACATGATGCAGAAGCAGATACTTCAGCTGATTTAGAGACGTGTTCTCATCCGACCAGCGGAGCAGTAAGAGGCGGCGAGATGTTAACCAGTTTATAATTATTGCTTTATTCAGTTTAAGACAGCAGGAGAGCTGTCAGAGCATCGATTACTGACGTCTCTGTGACAAACACTCTGTCTTTTGACACGATTCCAATCAATTGTTTCGACGCAGACTCTGAGGTAAATATCCAATCATTTAGCAACTAAACAGTTATATTATAGATCTGTAATCAGGGAGAAAACTAAGTTTGTTCAACACCCAAAATATTACTAATGAATTCTAAATTTAATCTGGTAGGAACTACTTTTTCTTCCACCATCTGCTCATGTAACATAAATTAAGATGTGTTTTCTTTTTTTTATAGTAGTGCTTGATGATTAAACCATAATTATTTGAATAGTTTTATAATTTTTACTTCATTTTTATTCTTTAAAATCTTATTTCCAAATTTATTGTATGATTGTTTTTTCCTGTTGTAGCCTATTATTATAAACGAGGATGCTCTATCAATTCTGAGTTTAAAATGAAGAAATAAATTACTTTAATGTCTTGTAGTTATTATGAAGCTGTGATTTGAAATACAGTACTTTTTTTACATTTTCACATTTATTTGTTTAGTTTTGTTTTCTTTTTTTTTTAAGGTTAAGTTTTTAACAGCTTGGCCAAGTAGAAACTAAGCTACTTGGTTAGGTTCAGGAAAAAAAAATGCTAATCAATTTAAAATACATAACGTTTAATGTTAAATTTGTGTTCTGAACAATATTAGTTCATATTCATAGTTCATATTCTCTGGTAATGGACTAGAAATTCTGTATTTCTCAGGCTTTATGTTACACAAATTAATCAATAACTTTCTACAAATTTAATTATAATTTAAAATAAAAATATATTTTTGTAGATCTAAAGCTCCTTTAGAAGAAAACACAAGTGGAGTTGGATAAGAGAAAAAAAAAAAAACCCAAATTGCCAAATACAGATCAACATTTTGTTCCATTTTTTTTTCTTTTTTTTTTGGTCTGAATGTGACAAAATAAAGCCACACGAGGCCAAAATATGTCGTTAACAGGTCCGGTTTGTAGAGGGAGGAGAGGAGCGACACCAACTGCTCACTCTCAACTCATCGCCTCTCTCTCTCCGACGGTACAAACCACTTGGCCAAATCGTGGCCTCCAGATGGCAGACCGCTGGTGCACGCAGCGACACACTGTGCAACAACACACGCGCACATTTGCCTGCAGCCGGGGCGTGCAGGCTGAAGCTCCTTCTCATTACTATGATAAGTGTCTGCTCACCCTTTTTCTTGTTTTCATTCGATTTTCATTTCAAAGAGCAGAGCGAGCAGCGAGGGGGCCGACTACGGACCTGAAGTGTGGCCAGATGTGCCAGTGCATTTATGAGTGTGTGTGTGTGTGTGTGTGTGTGTGTGTGTGTGTGTGTGT